ACTTTCCTGATATTAAATCATGTAGCATCTCTTTCACATGAACACAAGTTTGCTGTTATGTTGTTGTTAGGTGCTGTCAAGTTAAGCATGACTCAGAGCAACACTATGAACAAATGGTCTGAACCTAGTCCTGTCCTGCACCATCCTCACACTTTCTGACACATCAGAGACCATTGCAGTAGTCACCTTGAGGGTCTTGCTATCCTTCACCGACCGTCCACCCTTCCCAACATCATGTCCCTCTCCAAGGAATAGTCCCTCCTAGCAACATGTCCAAACAATGTGAGGTGAAGCCTCATGATTCTTGCCTCAAAGAGCACCCCAGCTACATCATTTCCAAGACCTATCTGTTCACTCTCTTGGCCGTCCATGGTATGTTCAGTGCTCTTTTCCCAACATGACAACTCAAAGGCATCAATTCTTTTTTTTTTTATCATCCTTATTCACTGTTCAGGTCCCAAATGAATAGCTAGTAATTGGAAAGACTATGGCCTGAATCAGACACACCTTAGTCCTCAAACTGAAATCACTACTCCTCAATAATTTGGAAAGGTCCCTAACTGCAGATTTTCCCAGTGCAATGTGTCTCCTTATTTTCTGATTGCTTGCACCAACCGTGTTAACTGTGAATCCAAGCAAGATGAAGCTGTTGATAGTTTCAATCTCCTCTCCATCCATCAGGATGCTGCCTATTGGTCCAGTGGTAAGAATCTGTATTTTCTTGACATTGAGCTGCAATCCATATCAAGGGTGACGTTCCTTGATCTTCTTTAACAAGTGCTTCACGTCCTCCTCACTTTTAGAAAAAAGTTCGTGTTTCTGCATAACACAGGTTATTGTTGAGTCTCCCTCCAATCTTGATGCCACATTCATCTTCACAGAGTCCAGCTTCTCAGATAATTTGCTCAGCATATAGACTCAACAGGCTGAACAGGTATAGAGAGATAATACAACCCTGACGTACTTCCTTCCCAATTCCAAACCACATAGTACTCTCCTGGCTCCATTCACACAACTGCCTCCTGATCCAGGTATAAATTCCACATGAGCACAATCAAGTGCTCTGTGATTCGCATTCTTCTCAGCTTGTCATGATCCACACAGTCAAGTATCTTTGCATAGTCAAGAAAGCACAAATACATTGTTCTGGTATTCCTTCCTTTCAGCCAGATTCCATCTGACTTCAGCAATGATATCCCTTGTGCCAAGCCTTCTTCTAAATCCTGCTTGAACTTCTGGCAGTTCCTTATCTATATACTGTTCGAGTCATTTAAAAATGATCTTCAGCAGTATTTTTCTTGCATGATATCAATGATATTGTTTGGTAATTTCCACATTCAGTTGGATCACCTTTCTTGGGAAAAGGAGTAAATAGGGACCTCTTCCAATGAACACAAGAGTTCCATAATTCCCATTCCTCTCATTATTATTCACCATTTAGTATGCTCTATCCAGTGACATAGTTTAATGTCTTTGGTGGTCAACAACACATGAGTAGATAGCTATCTAGTACTCTCAGCTTTTATTTGTACCTCCTAAAATGATTCCACATCAAACAAGTAGTACAGCAACTCTACATATTCCTTCCATCTTCTTCGGATGCTTCCTGCATCATTTGATTATTTTGACATTTTGCCCATAATTTGTCAGTATTGCAACTCAAGTCTTCAATTTTTTTATTGTTATTTTAGTTGAAGGAATGTTGAGCATGTTCTTCCTTTTTTATTTTCTAACTCCAGGTCTTTGCACATTTTGTCATAATACTTCGACTTCTGGAGCTGCCCTCTAAAATCTGTTCAATTCTTTTATTTTACCATTTCTGTCTTTACTTTTGCTTCTAAATCAATATCAATTTTCAGAGCCATTTTGGTCTTTTTCTTCTTTGCTCTCTTTTAAATGGTATTTTGCTTTCTTCATGCATTTTATCTTTGATATCAGCCTAAAACTTCTCTGGTCTTCAGTCATTATTGTTCAATGTATCAAATAAATTTTGGGGATGCTTATTAAATTTAGGTGGGATAAATTCAAAGTCAAATTTTGGCTCTTGTGAACTTGTTTTAATTTTCTTTAACTTCAATTTTAACTTGCATATGAGTTATTTATGGTCTATTTCACAGTCAAGTCTCTGGCCTTGTTTTGGCTGCTGAAACTGAAGTTCTCCACTGTCTCTTTTCACAGAGATAGTGAATTTGATAACTGTATCTTCCATTAGGTAATGTCTAGTGTTTATATTCTTAGAAAATGTATTTGCAATGAATAAATTCTTGACTGTACAAAACTCTATCATGTGATTTCTGGCTTTATGTTCCAAGGTTGTATTTTTCAACTACCAGTCATTTTTCTTCACTTCCAAATCCTGCATTCCAGCAGCCAATTACTAAAGTGGCTTGACTGCATACTTGATCCATTTCAGAATGTAGAAGTCAACAGAAATCCTCAATTTCTCTTCATGACATGATAACTAAGTATATAAATGGGGACCTATTCTGGTAATATATGATTGACTAAGTATATAAATGGGGAACTATTCTGGTCATACATGATTGACTAAGTAAGTGATTTTGGTATCTGAAGAATAGAGCCAGTAACAGAGCAGAGTTAACAGTGGTTTGCAAGAAAGAATCCAGGAATAGTCAACATGAACGTCTTTATACAAGTAAAGAACTGAATTTCAGGCTAGTGTGGCTACAACCCAAAGCATAAAAAATACTGCAAAATAAGCTTAAAGAGGATATTGCTTTGGGGTGCTATCAAGCCAGCTCTGGCGCACAGCATTCTTATGTACAACAGAAAGTAACTACCTAATCCTCCAACATCTCACAACTTGTTCTGTGCTGAGACCCATTGGTGCGGCCACTGTGTCACATCATCTCATTCAGTGTCTTTCTTTTTTTGCTGACCCTCAACTTTTCCAAAAGGCTTGGTGGATTGCTAATTAAAATTTCTATTGTTGTTGTCATGTGCCGTCAACTACAACTCATAGCGACCCTAAGCACAATAGCTCTGAACTCTATACTGAGTATAGTAGCCAGTGTCACTGTCTCTGACACACCTACCCTCATATCCCAGTTATTGTGTCAATCCATCTCATCTAGGGTTGTCTTCTGCATTGTCCCTCCACCCTTCCAAGCATGATGTCCTTCTACAAGGACTAGTCCCTCCTGGCAACATCCCAAAGTATTTTAGATGAATGGCTGTTTGAATCCATAGCTGTTCCTCAAGAGAAAGACGAGCAGCCTCGATTTGTAAAGATTTACAATTCTGAAAGCTGAAGGAGGAGTGCTATGACTGGGAAATGATGTGATGGCACAGCGTCGTGAAATGGGGCTACTTTTCAATACAGGCTGTTCCTCTCCAAGCACTGGTCATCTTAATAACATGCCCAAAGTCTCGCAAAATGTGCTCCTAAGGTTGTACACTTTCCAAGATAGATGTAGGTATGCTTTCACTAGTCCCTAAGATAGTCAACGTTTCTGCAAATATCACATTTCAAAAGAATCAAATGTCCTTCAATTGTCTTAATTTATTCACTGTCCACCTTCCATACGAATATGAAAGAATTGAAAATACTATGGCATGGCTAAAGAGCTAACTCAAGCAAGTTCTCAAAGTATATATTAGGATTTTAATTTTACCCTAAGGGCAACAGATAGAAACCAAAAAATATTATATTAAGAGCATGATAAAAATAAGCATTTAAAAAAGACAAATTTTGGCTGTTTTGTGGAAAATTAATTGCAGAGAAATTAAGTATATTTGGAAATCCATTAAGCTGTTACTATAGTCAAGAAAGGAAAAATATGGGACTAGTCTAGTTTAAGACGAAGGCAATATTAGTAAGCAAATCTATTAGATAATCTGAATATAAAAATTCCAATGTTGGATCTAGGGAGTGCTTTACAAATTGCCCATTTTTCTATTTATGTGGCTATATTTTTATTATTTAATTACAAATTATTATTATTATTTGTTATAGGCTTGAGTAACAAAAGAGTGCTCAACAAATATAATAATTAAGAACCATACTCATGTTTGATAGTGGTAAACGAGATATAAAATATAATCATGTTTATGTTATTACATGTTACTACCAAAAGTCTTAGAAAAATTATAAAATTTATGCTATTATACAATATAAGTTATATATGTCAAATTGCATCAAAAGTAATGGACCACACTTTAAAAAATTTTATAAGCAATGACTGCCAATATTTTAATCTGCTACTGATTAAGTGAAAAATGTTATTAACTTTTCATTGTAATCTAACCCTCAAGCATACACAGAAATAAGGTGTATGTATTTATCTCTAGGTGGGTAAACAAAGTAACAATAACATATGGTTCCAGGAAAATCTAATTTTCTATTGGTAGATACAATTACTTTAAGTGAAGGTATGAATGGGGAATTAGAAAAATGTTATTATTACAAAAACAAAAGTATTCCTTCCAAGTGTTACTTATAAAATGGAAGCTTTCAATAATTTTAATTTACTATTTTACATTATGTAGCTGTGGTGTGGGCCTAAAAGCTTGCTTTTTTTAAGCCATTAGTTAGCCACCTCTGATCTCCAGCTACCATAACTGCAAATACATGATCCTGCAAATTGGCATCAGCTCTGGGACTACAAGAAATGAAAGAGTGCTTCTCATACTAAGCAAAAAGACTTGAAGTGAGCAAGGCTTGTGGCTATGGGCTCCTGATCTGATTTCCTAATCTGGGGCAATGAGGGCTGCATTATTCTCACTCCTTTCAGAGAGATGCTCATGACCCTGTGTTCCTATGTCCAGTTTTCTCCATGTAAAACAGTAGTATTTGTGTATAATGCTTAACACAAATTATCTTTCTGTAAAAAAAAAATAATTAAAAAAATTTGTGAGCAATCTAGAAATTAAATTCAAACTGCTTTACTAGAACAACTCAGAACACCTTAATGAATTTCTATTGTACAAAATTAACTCAAAAGGCAGAATCATAGAAGTATGTAAGAGAAAATTCTTACCAGTTTTTCATCAACTGTGAGGAGCTGTGTATCTCGAGTTTGGTCCTGTGCCAATCTCCATGTAGAAGTACTGGACAACCTACATGGCAACATTTTAAGTTAAAAAATGGTCCATATAATGAAAAAAGATAAACAGACAAATCTTATCCAAAAAGTAAACAGAGAAAGAAGGCAAGCACAATAATCCCTTTTCTTCTCACTCAATTCTGTCTGGGGAATTTCTGGCCAACTCTTACATGACAGGTCATATCAGGTTTTATTGTCTGTCAGTCTACAGGCTCTAGGTCACAGAAAGACCACCAGAAAAATTTCATCACTTTAAACTCAAGAGCAGGAGCCCTGGTAGCTTACTGTTAAGGAGCTGTGCTGTTAAATCAAAAGTACACAGTTTAAACTCACCAGGTGCTCAGCGAGAGATTGTGAATGGGCAAGCTCCTTCAATGGGATTTCCTGCCTCTGAAAACCTGCTGAATCATCTTTGGTTCTGACTCAATGGTACACAACAAACATAAAATAGAAGCACTTTAAATAGAAACTATATGTAAGAGCAATGTCAGAGGAAAAAACGTATTTAATGAAGTAGCAAGCCAGTAAAGCAAGTCAGTAAGACTAACTGGCATAACAGCCAAAATGTTCGCCATGAAATACAGGTAGTTACAAAGGTAATGCAGGAACCAACATTCTGTTTTATTGTATAAAAGGTGGTTATGAGTTAGAATCGACCTTATGGCAGTTAACATAATAGCTTAAAATACAAATTAGAAAATGTATACAATCTCAACCTTGTGGGGCTCAGGGTGAAATATAGAGAGGCATCTTTAGCCTCCAAAGGATTAGAAATTAAGGAACATTAAGACTATTGAGATTTGAAATAAATCTTAAGAAAGTAAACTAAATGAGTTAAAATAAACCACAAGTAAAAAGTTACTAAGACAATTCACCAAAGAAGACATTCACATGGCAAACAAACACATGAAGAAATGTTCAAAATCCCTAGCTGTCAGAGAGATACAAATCAAAACAACTATGAAATATCATCTCACCCCAGTAAGAATAGCAAAACTTAACAGCAAACATCAAATGCTGGCGAGGTTGTAGAGAAACTGGAACCCTTCTTCACTGTTGGTGGGAGTGTAAAATGGTGCAACCACTATGAAAGGCTGTATGGCACTTTGTCAAAAAGTTGCAAATAGAAATACCATTTGACCCAGCAATTCCACTACTGGGAATTTACCCTAAGGAAACCATAACAGCCACCCAAGCAGATATATGTACACCCATGTTTATTGAGGCTTTGTTCACAATAGCAAAGACCTGGAAACAACCCAAGTGCTCCTCAACAAAGGAATGGATAGAGAAGCTCTGGTATATTCACACAATGGAATACTATGCAGCATTGGAAAACAAGAAACTCATGAAATAGTGTGCAAAATTGAGGACATAATGCTGAGTGAAATATATCAGTCATAAAAGGACAAATATTACATAGGTCCACTGTTGTAAAACTAGACTGACATCAGGGTTGAAGGAAGGCAGAGAAGGGGCGGAATGAGGTACACTGCATTGAAACAGATGAGGGAGGGAACTGTTTAAAAGGGATATATGACTGAGTATTATTGTCATGACAGGAGTCCAGAATAAAGGCTGCACAGTATAGTGGACTTGGGGAGAGGGACTGCATAACAATGAAAAAGTTTTTCTTTTCCTTTCAAGGAAAAGAGTGAATTGGGGGGGCAGGGAGAAAAGTGCAACAATGAATGAATGGAAACCCTAAGTCTCTGTAAACTTTGACCAAAATTTTAAAAATGGGGTTTTTTCCTTTTAAAAAAGTTACTAAATACGCAATGAGGGTTGCAGAATGGATTATATTTGGGGGTAGGGGGTGGGGTTTGGGGAGGTGCGGGAGGATTGTGTACCAATGAGAGAGTTTTGCTTTTGCTTTTCAAGGAGAGGAGCAAATGGGGGGGGAGGGGGTTGTGCGGGGAGAAGGGTGCAACAATGAACAAATGGAATTCCAAAATCTCTGTAGATGTTCATTGAAATGAAAAGTAAACAAACGAAATTTTAAAAAAAGTTACTAAGTAAACTGAAAAACATTAGAAATATCCTTTCTGCCATAGAAGTTGCATGTAAAGAAGATTCAGGGAAAAAAAACCCCAAAAAACCCACTTGATAATATTTTGAACTTTCAACGTTTTCTACACTATTGTTAATGATCAAACTCTCTCTCTTGCCTGATTTAATAAAGTTGTTCTTGCAATATCTTTGAAAAAAAACTTAGAGGCAAGGATGGTGAAGTTTCACCTCACATACTTGAGGCATGTTGCTGTTGTTATGTGCCATAAGTCACTTAACAACTCAAAGTGACTCTATGTACATTAATGTACATAGATGTTCTAAAATCTGCCCTATCTTAAGCCAATCTCATCGTTTCCAACAGACCTACTCCCATTTCTCCAGTCACTGAGTCCAATTCATCTCATCCTGGGTCATCTTCTCCTGGGTTGTCCCCCACCCTTCCAAGCATGATGTCCTTCTCCAAGGGCTGGTCCCTCCTGGTCATAAGACCAAAGTATGTGAGACAGAGACTCAAAATCCTTGCATCCAGGGAGCACCCAGCTTTGACTTTCTCCAGGACTGACCTGTTTGTTCTCCTGACAGTCCATGGTATATTGAACACTCTTCTCCAGCACCGTAACTCAAAGGTATTAATCCTTCTTCTTTCATACTCAGTTATTGTCCAGCTCTCGGATGCATAGCAAGTAAATGAGAAGACCAGAGCCTGGATCAGGTGCACCTTAATCTCCAGACTAACATTGTTGCTTCTTAGTACTCTAGGAAGTCCTTGACAGCCAACTTTCCCAATGCAATTCATCTTTAAATTTCCTCACTGCTGGTGCCAAGAGTGTTGATTGTGGAACCAGCAAGCTGCAGTTAGCAACAATCTCGATTTTTCTCCATCCTTCAGGAAGCGGCTAATTGACCCAGTGGTGAGAATTTTTGTTTTCTTGATGTTCCAATTCAATCCATACTTAAAGACTATAGTTCTTGACCTTCTGCAGCAAATCCTCATGTCCTCTTCCGTTTCAGCAAGCAAGGTTGTGTCATCTGCATAACCCAGGTTGTCAATTAGTCTTCCTCCAATCCTGATGCTATATTCGTCCTCATAAAGTCCAGCCTCCCAAATGATTTGTTCCGTACAAAGATTGAAATGGTATGGATATAGGATGCATCCCTTATGCACACCTTTCCTGATCCTGAATCATCATTCAGTGTTTCTCTGCTCTGTTCTGACTACTGCTTCCTAGTTCAAGTACAGACTTTGCATGAGCACAGTTAAGTGTTCTAGGATTCTCATTCTTCTCAAGTTTAGCTACTATTTTTTGTGATCCACATAGACAAATACATTTGCAGAGCCAAAGAGACACAGAGACATTACTCAGATAATCTCTGCTTTCAGTCAAGTTCCAGCTAACACTGGTATGATGTCCCTAGGGTCTCAGCCTCTTCTAAACACAGCTGGCAGTTCACTGTTGATTTACTGTTCTAAATGTTTCTGGAAAAATCTTCAGCAGGATCTTGTGTGTGATATTATGATATCGTTTGATAATTTTCACAGTCTGTTAGGAAGCAGACATTGGACAGAAATGGTTAGTCATGTATTCATTTGTGCTCGGGTTTCACATGAGAACAAGTATTCTGGGATTCCCATTCTTGCCAATGTTAGCCATAATTTGTTATGTATGATCCATAGAGGAAAATGCCTTTGTATGATCAATAAAACACATTCCTTTCTGATATTCTATGCTTTCAGTAAAGATTCAACTGACATAAACAATGATATCACTAGTTCCATGGCCTTTTCTTCTGGAAGTTCCCTGTCTGTGTACTGTTAGAGTTACTTTTTAGTATCTTAGAAAAATTTCACTTACATGTTATTGACGTTAATGATATTACATCATTTCCTTTTTAGCGTGATATATACTCACCAAATTGTACCAAGAAATCCGGTGCACAAATACTTGGCCAACTGACTGGAAGAAATCCTTATTTATTCCCAGCACAAAAAAAGATGACCCAACAGAGTGTGGAAATTATCACACAGTATCACTAATATCACATACTAACAAAATCCTGCTGGAGATTATCCAGAAATGACTAGAACAGCACAGTGACAGAGAACTACCAGAAATATAAACTGGGTTTAAAAGAGGTCATAGTACTAGAGACACTAGTGCCAGATGGAACTTGGCAAAAAGCAAAGAGTACCAGAGGAATGTCTATGTGTGTTTCACTGACTGTGCAAAGGCATTTGACTATGTGAATCACAACAAATTGTGACTAACCTTGAGGAAAATGGGAATCCCAGAACACCTGATTGTGCTTATGTGAAACCTAGGAAGCAGTCCTCAGAACAGAGCAGGGAAACACTGCATGGTTCAAAATCAGGAAAGGAGTGTGCCAAGGATGCACCCTGTCTCCATACCTCTTCAATCTATATGCAGAACAAATCATTCAGGAAGCAAGGCTTTATGAGGAGAAATGTGGCATCAGGACTAGAGGAAGACAATCTAGGTTGTGACAAGATTGACACAGCCTTGCTTGCTGAGACGGAAGAAGACCTGAAGTGCTTGCTGCAGAAGATGAAGGACTGCAGCCTTCAATATGGATTGAAGCTCAACATCAAGAAGACAAAGATTCTCACCACTGGGCCAATTGGCAGCACCATGATAGATGGAGAAGAGAGTGATGTTGTTAGCAATTACAGCTTACTAAGATCCACAATCAACACCCTTAACACCAGCACTCAGGAAATCAGAAGGTGAATTGCAATGGGAAAGTATGCTGCCAGGGATCTCTCCAGAGTACTGAAAAGCAATGATGTCAGTCTGGAGACTAAGACACGCCTAATCCGGGCCGTGGTCTTTGTAATTACTTGCTATACATCAGAGAGCTAGAAAATGCCTAAGGAGGACAGAAAAAGAATTGATGCCTTGGAACTTTGGTGCTAGAGAAGAGTCTTGAAGATACCATGGACTGCAAAGAAAACAAACAGGTCTGTCTTGGAGAGTGTGAAAA